GGGGGGGGGCTTGCACACGTTACGTAGTTATTTAGGGGGAGTTTGAATGCGCGTTACTGAGGGGGGGAAAGGGGGTATTCAAAATACAAATTTGCATAACGTAATTTATGGACGGCCCTCTCAGAAAGCTCCCGTACGCACCCGACTCTGAACTTCTTCGAAGTTCTGCTGCTGGAGGTGGCCCGGGCTATATTATGTTTTTCTTCTATATTACAAGTTTCATTGTCGGGAAGTCACCTCACAGGCCGAGCAACAGATCGCGGGAGCGCTCTGGAGCGAGCCGACCCGAGTAACATACAAGTTCCGGACTGAAGGTGTAAATGGAATCAGCTGCTCACGCTCACCTCCCGTCACTGAGATAACTCAAGCAGATGCACCGGACTTGCAGAACATCCGACCTCGTCTTCACGTGGGTAGAGCACCTCGAGTCGACAGCACTCAGAAATAAAGTAGGAAAACATTTCTCATTTTTTGAAAACACTTCTTTTCATTAAAAAAGTGTTTAATAAAATTAGTAGAATACAAAATATTTTGCGAAAATGGCAAAATATGTGAAACATTTAACAAAAAAAATTAGATATTGTGTAAGGACGGCTACAATTCGCCAAGATTAGAGTTTTGAGAACGGTAAGTCGAGAGACAAAAAATATGTAATTACATAAAAATCCGGTCCCTACACATAACTCCTCTTCTAATTGTTAAAAGCATGTCAAAATTGGACCTTGTATGTTTTTTATTATACACTCTCTGCAGGTTTCATAAAAGTCTGAGCAGCTGAACTATTCTCAGAGCTTTGACCCGAGTCAAAGCTCAGAGAAATCAGTAATCATTCTGGACTTCATAAATGAAGAGCAATCATCACAAAACTGCTGTGCAGAAACAAAGCATTTGTCAGAAAATAATATTAGAAACATTTCTTAATCTAATTAATAATGATAATTAATTTTTTCCATTTGAAATTATTCACTTTGTGTGTGTGAATCATATTATGTATATACATACGTATACATACTTATTATATTAATTTTGTATTCATCATTCCTTACATTTTTCTTTAGTGGGTAGACACTGTTTACACTCTCATTACACAACTGTTTATAACTAACACACCACTGAATGAATTACTTAAATAAATTCATGTATTTCTGTATTATTTCTCTTTGAAATTCGCAATATCAAAACCTGAGGAGGTTGAAAACTCACTATATTTTTCCCTTCCTATTTATAACCATTTCATAAAAAAATATGAAAAGTAAAATAATTTAACTAAAAATCATAATAAATAATACATAATAATTGAAATTACTCATGTAATAAATACATAAAATTGTTTCAAATTACAACAGCCCGCTATAGCACCATAAATGAGAAATATCTTATTAGTTTGCAACAAAAGATAGGCTCTGATAATACTGTAAAAATAACCTAACAGAATGTAGCTTGAAAAACAATGTCTGAAGTAATAAGAAAAAAACCTTATCTTTTAATGTTGTAATCATGAAATT